TCCAAAAATATATTAGAAATATTAAAACATTATATATTTTACTTATGAACTCAGCTTTTTCTAAAAGTCATCTATCACCCTAGCCATTTGGCTCAGTGGATAGAGTGTCAGCCTGCTTACTGAAGAGTCCCAGGTTCGATTCCAGTCAGGGGCATATGCCCGGGTTGCAGGTTCGATCCCCAGTAGGGGGCGTGCAGGAGGCAGCCAATCAATGATTCTCACTGACCAGTGATGTTTCTATCTCTCTCTCCCTCTCCCTTCCTCTTTGAAATCAATAAAAATATATTTAATAAATAAATAAATAAATAAATAAATAAATAAATAAATGTCATCTATCTATAAACTAGCTGGTTGAAGAAGCAATGAGCTAGCAAATCTGTCTGAGGTAGGGAGTGTCAGATAAAATATAAGACACCCAGTTAAATTTGCATTTCTGGTAAACTAGAGTAATTTCCAAAGAGTTTATCAAACCTGAGCTAGGGTGCACATGTAGTATACAAAACCAACTTTCTTATATATTTTAAAAACTATAGCTAGAGTTATAATTGAAATTCTTCATATTCCAACTTATGACCCGAAGGCATAGGACATTCTCACTGTTTCTCAACAAATATAAACTAAAACAGATTTCCAGTCTAATTTTCACTTATGGAAGAATTAAGCAGAACACAATATTCTTTTAGTATTCCTGTCTTTCAAGATGTTACTGTAAATGTTACTATAAAAAATATCAAAATAAATTGGTGATGCTGATTTATCCCAATGATAACTAGACAAGAAATTTCCTAACCTAAACCTAATAGAGAGGAGTTAGAAATTACTTATGTAATAAAAGCTATAACTACAGTAGTCTCTCCTTATCCTTGGTTTTGTTTTCCATCGTTTCAGTTACCAAGGTCTGAAAATATTAAATGGAAAATTCCAGAAATAAACTATTCAGAGTTTCAAATTGCTTGCCATTCTGAGTAGCATAAAATCTTGTGCTGTCCTGTACTGTCTACCTGGGCAATGAATCAACCTTTTACCAGTGTATCCACACTGTATACATTACCCATATACAGTAGCCGTCGTAATATCCCAATGCTTGTGTTAAAGTAACCCTTATTTTATTTAATAATGGATGCTGGCAATTTGGACATTCCAAAGAGAAGTTGTAAAGTGTTTGCTTCTTTTAAGTAAAAAGGTGAGTATAGTACAATACAATATTTTGAGAGATGACATTCACATGACATTTTATTACAGTATGATTGTCCTATTTTATTAATTTCTTGCTGTGCCTATTATAAATTAAACTTTATCATAGGTCTTTATGTATAGAAAAAAATAGTATATATAGGGTTCAGTATTATCTCAGTTTTAAACATCCCCTGGGGTTTTGGAATGTTTCCCCCTCAATAATGGGGACTACTATTCTCTCCTACCACAATCTCTTTTGAAGATTTTAGTACCCCAGAAAACTATGAATAGAAAGATATGATTTTACTAATCACTCAATTTTTTCCTTATTACCTTTTCAAAGATTTGATAGAGAAAACTGAAAATGTTTATTTGAAGTTTATTTAGAAAGCTCACTATTAACAATTAGCATAATAAAGAACTGAGATAAAACATCTAGTACCCCTCTGACTTTTAACTACATATGTTTTCTTACCATTTCAAGATACATTTTGCTGTTACCATCACCTGTTTTGTTTCTGAAGATATACTGATTAAAATATCAAACTGCTTATTCATGTTATTCTTTTCATCAACAGTGCCTGGCTGCCCAACACACTGGCACCATTATCTCAGTTTTTCCCCAAATGCTCAGAGTCACACTACCTTAAATGCAAATCAAAGGCTGTACAACTACAGAGTTCCAAACAATCAGGAAGTATATCATACCATGTAAAGTAGGTAGTGTCCTTAATATTTGTCTTCTTCCCTCTGCTTGCAATTACCTCTCAGCTTTATAGGATCAGGTTTTCAGTTAGCTTTGAGCTCAGTGGAGTTGTGCTACAGTGGAATTAGAGATTAGCAATATCTGCTGCTAGTTGTACCCTTTTCAAACCTAATTTTGGAGATCCTGATTTGCCAGGTAGAAACATATCAAAAAGGGATAACTGAGCCCTTCCTCTCCCCCAGCCTCCATATCCAACTGCATGCTATCTTCTAATTATCTTTCACGTGCTTTTATTTCTTCTCATCTCCACTACCCTTTGTTTTCCCTCAGCTACAGACTTAATAGCTGTGTCCCTCCCTTACACGTGTGTTCCTTCAATCTAGTAAAAGAAATCTTTAGAGAACACTATATAATCAAGTTAGTTCCCTATCTAATTCTCCTTATGGCTACTCAATATCCTCAGAATAAAGTCCAAATTAAATAACAAGACCTGTTAGGAGCCTTCATGACTTGTCTCCTGCCTACTTCTCAGTCTCCTTTCTCAATATACACCAGCTTGACTGAATTTTATTTAGTTCTTCAATTTCTCTCTCTCACCCCCGCAAGTTTTCTCCACTTATCACAATGCTTATTTATTAGCCTCCCCCACTGATTAAAAGTTCCAGGGACAGGCACCATATATCTGTCATTCCTCCTTTTATTCAAAGAATCTAGCACAGTGCCTAGCCCCTAGTAGATATTTATGTAGATATTTGTTAAATAATGAATGGACAGAAACTGAAAATGGTAGGTCTAATTTTTCAGCCATATTAATTACCCATGATTCTAAGGAGAGCAGAGAGGGACACATTTGATTCCTCTAGGAGCTTCTCCATAACACATACAAGCCAAGAACAGATTCATACATATTAAAGTCTTTAGATATCTGAATAGTATTCTTAGTCTCTTGAGTGGAAAAAATTATTAGATATATAGCTGTATCCCTGGTCAGTGAATTAGCATGGTCTCACTGAAGAGATAGCATTTGACAATGCTTTCTTTTGGCTGTACCTCTACACTTTGCTTCCCAGAGATGAATAAAAATACTAGTCAAGTTTCTAAATTTGTAAAAGCAATAGATTAGTCTACTCTTTAGCACTGCCTAAGTCCCTGCCTCTATGCTAAATACTTTTTTAAAATAATCTAAGGCACAGAATTTGAACTCAAATCTGACTCCAGAACTTGTGCTCTGAACCACAATGAGATCAACTTGGTAAGCTATGTCTGATCCATACTACACAGGGTGTAGCAAAAGTAGGTTTACAGTTGTGAGTATGCAAACAGTTTATTCTTGTTTTATTACTTATTAATTATTGTACTATTTTCCATAGGAACAACTGTAAACCTATTTTTACCCCACCCTTTATATGATAATTCTGGAAAGACAAGGAGCTCAAATTTAGACTCCATGATTCAGTTCCTATGAAAAGCACATCTGTAATAAAGAATATCTAAGGATCTTTATGTAGGTCAAAATGACAAGAGGTTTAATCTTGCATGTCAACTGGAACCACCATAGTGGTGCCACATTGAGAGCAACTCAATATATTGAGGAAGTTAATGAAAATAGTGTCAAATTTATGGTTTTACCTGTATGTTACTAAAATTCCTGCAAGTAAAACTGATCACTTATTCAATATTAGAATGAAGCCAGATTAGGCTCTACAGGCAGAACAGTTTTAAAGAGATGATGAGAAATGAGCAGAGTTCAAATATGTCTTTGAAAACATGTGAAAAAATAGAACATAAGTTACTGAAGTGATGAGCCAATATAATCAAACTCATTCGCCCTCTGTAGCAGACTTCCCTGAGCATTCAGCAAGACACTTACTATAACATACAACACTTAGAGACATGCAAATGTATACAGGTACATACACAACCTAGCTTGTGTTATGCAAATTAAATATAAATTGTTCAATAACTTTTCCAATTATATGAATTGATCATTAAAAATTTTACAATTCAGGCATCTTGCCTCTGAGTCCCTCTTTCTAAAGTTTTATAGAACTACTCAAATACTTCGATTACACGTTAACTAAAAGTTCCATAGATTATAAAGTCCTATAAAAATACTGGTTATATAATTTAAATTGCCTCTAAAATTTAATGGTGAGAAAAACTTGAGAACTTATACGATTTAATCAAGAACTAAATTTTAAAATTCAAATCAAGAAAGAATAGTTCATCACGTAAATTCAGTAGGATGTGTGTGTGTGTGTGTGTATTTCAAATGGAAGTACGTGGAGGGAAAAAAATTCAAAAAATTTTAAAAGGTTCTATATTAAAATAGATTGAAATAACATTTATGATCTCAATTACTTTAAACCAGCATTTAGATTAGCTTAAGCCAACATTTTAAAAGAATTAAGAGACTCAGTAATCTTTCCCCATTTCCATAATATACATAAAAGACTAAAACTTGGGGGGCATGAGAGGACAGAACATAGTAGCTATCTCTAAGTTTATAGAAAAGGGAAAGAAAACACATTAAAAAAAAATGAGACTGCTTTAAATTTTCATAAATATCCAGAAAATTGAGGAGAATATTTAATAAATACTTGTCCTTGAAATTATTTTCTCCATCTGATATTTTCTACAAGCACAAACAAAATATACCATTATAAAAAAAATTAGGGGCATGTTTATTTGACTAATTAATCAGCAAGTACATTCTGAATATTAGGATGAAAAAAATTAGAAATCTAGTTAACTAGATTTTGAAGGAGGCATGTCAATAAAAGGAAAAAGATAAAAAACGTTCTATTACTTAAAGCTACTTAAAAAGACTGAGCTTATTGTTGAAAACTCAAGTTTAGCACATATTTCAAGTAATGCAGTTTGTTTTTCTAACCTGTAGTATGTACTTACAAAAATGAACAAAGGCAAAATCTCAGTATCTCTGTTGGTCTTCCTAGATCGTGTTAATTTTGCTTTTTGGTTAAATACAAAGGAATAGAATTATGGAGAGTTCAGCAACAAGTTTTTCATTAGGATATGAAATCATGCCACGAGCTCCAAAAAAGGGTTAGTGGTATAAATTTGGGAAATAATCACTCATGCAAAAATCAGAAAATACCTGTACCGAGCCACCATGTCTGTCTGCTGCAAGGTGAGCTCTCAAATGGTGGGGATTTGCCTGCTGGGAGTCCCAAGCTGCCCTGTGGTCTGCCGACTGCCATTTATTTAATGCATGTGGCATGGATGGAAGAAGAAAAACCCAATATGTTAAACATCTCATCCTTATAATATAGAAAACAAACGTATAAAAGGAAATTTTAAAATACCCTTACTATTCTGAGTCACAGATGCAATGATACTGCATGTGGAGAGATTTTAATTAAATTGCTACAATTATGTCAGGATCAACCATAAAAATAAAATACAACCATAGAATTTTAGAAGTGAAAAGACTTTAGATGTCACAGATTCCACCCTCTAACTTTATAAATGAAATTAACAAAGAACAGGGAGGTAAAAATGATGTGCCCAAGAAAGCACACCGAATCAAGCATGAGCGACCTAAAAAAACCATTCACTATATTTTCTATAGTAGCGGTTCTCATTAGTTTTCTGATGAGGAACAACTTCTAGCAAGGTAAGAAAAAAAATAGTACTTAAATAGTTGTTCCTAATATTCTAGAAAACTTTTCTCTCCTGTTTCTGATTGTGTAGATAATATGAGAAAACAGAGAAGTTCTTTGAAAAGTAAAAAGGGCTATATAGAAGACGATGAGAATATGACAACTTTTAAAAGTAATAATCCTACATAAGCTTCCTTAATCTTTTTTTATCTGGTTCAAATTAAGGAACCCATTTCCCTGAAATAGGCTGATAATTCTTGATGCTTTTAGATGATTTTGGCAAATTTGCATGGCAATAACTTACAGACTAATAATCTACTAGCAGAATTAGAAGGGTTCAAGTCTATGTGTTCAGGAAAATGTGGACAGCACTAATAAAAAGAAGGGGGAAAAATAAATACAATATTTTAAGTTTCTATGACATGTTGGTTCTGCATGAGGTGCTTTATATATGTTATCTCATTTTGAGTTAAATAGTATTATCCTTATTTTACTGATGAAGACATTGAGATGTGAAACACTTCCCTAAATCACAGAGGTAGCAAGGAGTACAGCAAAGATTCAAACTCAGAGCCTACTGCTTCTCCAATAACCCTACCTAGCTCCTTAACACAATTACGTCATGTTCTAAAGCCTTTGGTGCTCTTTACTTTCTTTTTCAAAGTCAAGAAAATCTTGCCATAGAGGGCCAAGCACATTGGTTTATAGGGAGCTGAAGAATATCAGTGGTGAGAGAAACCCTTTGGGAGGAGAAGAGATATTAAAATTCAAGTAGACACAATGAATAAAAGTTCAGGCACTAAGTTCCCTAAATTAAATTGCACAGTTCAAAATTACATACTTTGTGGCATGAAGTATGTAATCATAAAATAATGATGATAATTTTATGTCTTTTCATTAAACCCTCCAAACTCATCACCAGAATTTAGCAGATGTATAGCTTAATTAAATAAATTAGATGAGATAAAAATCTGAACAGAATGGGAGAATGAAAATGATATTAAAGTTGAGACAAATATCTAAATGTTGCCTCGGGACAAAAGGTAACATTTGGGGGTCACGGACCGCTTTAAGAAGATAGTAGAATAAACATTTACATGCACCCAACACTTTCTATAAAATATAGGATCCGCTAAACTTCAAACATTGACTCTAGGTTACAAATTGTTTACCTTGGGACATAGCAAAGGTTTTAGCCATTTAAAGAATTAATTTTTCTTCTTTTGGGATTGTGAACTATGAGTTTCTCATACAACTTAAAACTATTTACTGCTTCACAGATATTTAAGAATTTTTTTCTAGATATACAACTTTTTCTATTATAATGACAGTCTGCATATCCAGGTTTCAAGTTCAATATGTAAGCTATATTAAAGGATTTCCAGGAGAGAAAAAATCACTGACTCCCTACATTTAGCTGAACAAGGACAACATGAATAACATATGGTTCCCACCCTCAGTGAGCTAACAATCTAGCTAGTAAGACATGTCTGAAACATGTAGAAAGTCAACCTCTAAAATATTTAAATTAAAATTTAATTCAACAACAAAAGAAGAGCCTCACTATAATACCTAACAACTCAAGTGGAAATATTCAGAGAATATGAATTATTAATTTTCTTCCAAAGTACATTTTAGAAATTAACTGATTTATTAAATACAAACTCTGAGTCTTGACTTCTGAGCCATTTCTTTCTATATACAGCATCTATCAGAGCACTTAAGCTATCAACAAGTTGTAATTTATATTTTGAATTAATTCACATGCAAGACCCTTTATTGTCCCAATTTTTCTAAGGCTAAAACTGAACTTTTTAAATTGGCTGTACTTTAAAGAATACTGTTAAATATCCCCTAAAAGTAGCATTTTATTTTGTGATGATTCTTAACAAGTTGTGTTTTTTCCTTTGATTTTTCATCTCTTGTTTAACCCTCACTAGAACTCTGATGGGATGAAAGATGTAAAGGATAAACCATTATCCTTCTCTAAAAAGGGTTACAATCAAAAATACTAAAGACACTTTTAACTCAGAGAAATAACAAAATTTCTTATGCTAAAGGTGGCTCCAATAAAAGTTTTTACAAAAAAGAGAAAGTGAAAACATTGCTCAAAAATTTCAACAGCTCTCAATCACCTTAACTCAGAAAATCCATCTTCTATGCATTATCTTGAACCTACTCCCTGCTCCAAGCAAACTGAACTGCTTGCTGTTCCTCAAAGTCTACATTCGTAAACTTCTGCTTCATATTTTATACTGTTCACTCTCTGTGGAATGTTTTTATTCCTTTATCTGCCTTTGAAAATGTCATTCATTCTTGAAGTTCATCTCAAAAACCACATTCTCCTAAAATCTTTATAGTTCCTACATAGTTCCTAATGATCTTCCATGGCACTTCATTAATATATTTAATGCGATGGAACTTATTCTACTTTATAATGTAGTTATTTGTGAATTTATTGTAATAATCATGCTAACAATAACACCAAGCAAGAGAGTTGAAATTTATTGAAGGCTTACTATATACTAGGAATTAACATGCATTATTTCTCTTTTATCGATGACAGAACTGAGGCTTTGAGAGATTAAGTAATTTACCCAGGGTTAAACCATATCCAGGTATGAATGATTCCAGAGACTGAGTGAAATCTTAGCCACTCATTACAAAATATTTCTTATAGGTTATATTGTTTTACTTACTTCTGCATTTCTGCAACATGTAAAATAGTAACTTTCAAATACTAGAAACTTAGTAAATAATTTATTATGCTAGACCAGCCGTGGGCAAACTACGGCCCGCGGGCCAGATCCGGCCCGTTTGAAATGAATAAAACTAAAAAAAAAAAGACCGTACCCTTTTATGTAATGATGTTTACTTTGAATTTATATTAGTTCACACAAACACTCCATCCATGCTTTTGTTCCGGCCCTCCGGTCCAGTTTAAGAACCCATTGTGGCCCTCAAGTCAAAAAGTTTGCCCACCCTTGCGATAGACTATAAACAGAAAGATCAACTGCTATTACAATTCATTCCAATAAGATGCCCAAATACTTCTATTCTAACAGAATGTCAAATGTTGCTCAAAATTATACTAATTTATACCACTAAATTATAAATTTATAATTAAATTAATAATGAATATTAGGGGAAATATATATTTTTAATTCTTAGCACGTGTGTATATAATATTTTATCTGTTGAAGAAAAAACATGCATTTCATTCTTTCGATATGTATATACATGTGTATATATACACTCACACACACATGTAAATACACACACACACACACACACACAAAGCAGTCACCTGGACATGATAAAACACCAAATGCATTTATAAACTGTCAGAAGGTAATACAGAAGCAAACTAAGACATTTTTATCTAAAGGGGAAGCAAACCTGGTTTTTGGATTGTTGCATCTTATCTCTGTGTTGATGTGCTTCTCTGTTTGATGATAGAGCAGGATCTTGCTGAACTGCCCCCACTGGAGTAGGCTACAACACAATAGCAATTAGCATCAATACAACCTACTTCAGAAGTTTTACTTAATATCATTCAGCTGTTTAAAGACTCAAGGAAGAAAGTAAGGCCTTAAAAGACATCATTCTCAAAATATATTAAAGCTAACGAAGACAACACAGCTACTCTTTAAAATGTTTTGAGAATATTTAAATGCTTTATCAAGTATTTATTTTTACTGGTATAACAACAAAAGATCTTCTAATGCTGTCATTTCTTTTAAATTATTTTTTCATATAAAAAATATAGCCATAACTGGTTTGGCTCAGTGGATAGAGCGTCAGCCTGCGGACTGAAAGGTCCCAGGTTTGATTCCGGTCAAGGGCATGTACCTTGGTTGCGGGCACATCCCCAGTAGGGAGTGTGCAGGAGGCAGCTGATCGATGTTTCTCTCTCATCAATGTTTCTAACTCTCTATCCCTCTCCCTCTCTGTAAAAATCAATAAAATATATTTTTTAAAAAATATGAAAGTATATCTGTTCATGTTTCTCATTTTCAAAGCTAATGTATAAACAGAATAAATAATTTTTAAGGGAATAAAAAAATTAAGGGAACAACTTTTTAAATAAACTAATAAAATTGCATACTGTCACTCAGAAGAGGCTTATAAAAAATTTTCAAGTACAATTCAAAATATAAATCTTTAATCAAAGTTTATTTAGATTTCCACCATAGATAACATGTATATTCAAATCACTTTGCATTTAAGAAAAATATACATTAAACACTTAGTAAGTCAACTGTTCAAAAATACTTGAACTTGAAAGGTCAGTGGTTCCAAATATGGATAAAAACTTGCTAATAGTGAGCCACAAATAAAAAAAATTTTATAGAACATTCTTACTTATTAAAAAAAGATTAGCGAGAATAAATATTTGATCTTTCAGAAATCGCCTCTTCAAAGAAAGAATATAATGACATGTCTCTTTAAGTGCTAAGCACCAATCCTACAGTTATAATAAAGAATTTTTTTAAGTTATGAAAACTTAGGTACAGTTTTAAAAACTTACTCCAAGTATCAATCTATTCCAAGAGATAACTTAGAACTGCTAGAATAATTAAAACATTTTTAAATTACAAATATTTTAAAAGATGGCTAAAGTAAACAGAAAACAAAACTAGCTAGCTGATCATTTAAAGTAATCACTAGAATATTAGACCAAAAATAGTATATTTGACACTAAGAATTAAATCAGGGATGAAAAGTTTGAAAAATCACTCTAAAAAGCAGAGTCCAAATGTAGGGCATTTATAAAATTCAAAGGATAATATATTAGTATTTTGTTACCTAAACTATCCCTAAAAAGGAAATAAAATGAACCCTTTTTCAAAAGTATTTGTTTTCAACTCTTTTCACTTGAAGGGAAAAAAACAGTAAAATATTTTATTATATAGTGGAGAAACTCACCAACTGTTTACCCATCCAGTCATATTCATAATCAAACAGATATCCCTTTCGATCAAACAAGTCAGTAAAAAGCTTTCTTAGGTAGTCATAGTCTGGTTTTTCAAAAAAATCTAGCCTTCTTACATAACGAAGATATGTTGCCATTTCTTCTACAAAGGAAATAAAAATTATTTTGAGTATACTTATCTACATACTCGTTAATAAAATTATTTAAGTGTATAAAAAGCATACAGTATTATAAAAACAGAAAAAATAAAATTCTATATTGCAATTTAAATTTTTATAAATTTAATTACAATGACTTTTTTTTAAAAGGGAGAAAATTCCTAACCTTGTTTATAAGCAGTATTCGAACCAACTGACCTAGCAAAATAATCCTCAGAAATATAACACAGAAGCTGCTTAATTCTTCTTTTAATTTCTGGTCATATAATTAACAATCATGCATTCCGTTAAAATTCTAAAATGTATTAGAGATTTGTACATTTTTAAAAGGTCATACTCTTCAGGATGAAAAAGACATAAAAATCAATAGGCAAAATGGTAAGCAAAACCATGTTTCACCATGGAAGCACAAAAAAATCACTGTAGTAAGAGATAGTAGGTTGCACCTAGCTGCTTTTCTGATTCAATTCATTCCTGGTAGCCAATAAGAACAGGATCACGCTAAGCTCAATGGGCAGTGAAAGTGGCACCCAGACCTTGATCACATGGTGAAGCTCACTATTCCACTTTCTAGCTAATTATCTGGTTAATTTACTTTGGCACCACCATTTCATTTTTCTTGCAGAAATTTATATAGGCTTCTTAACTTGCAGTCAATCTGCCTACACCTAAACTGCTAGTACTAGCAACGAATTTTTTTTTAACCCTCTAGTTTTAGATTAAAAAAGAAAAACATATAATTAAAGTTTGCTGACAATGAATAAAATAGCAAACTTGGGAAAGAGCTACCAGAGATTATACTGCTATTATTAGAATAATAATGTCAGCATTGTACAGGCAAAGTTGTGAATATCAAAGTGAGATTGAATTCAGCCTTCTATCTTCAAGTTTGGATCTCTGTTTTCTCAATGTTATTGCACATATCTCAGCAGGTATTTGAATACATTAGCAACACATTATTCTTATTTCTTTTTTATTCTTATTTCTTAATTGATTTAGAAATCTTAAGTTTCTGTTGGCTTGAGTTGCCATAAATCTACATGAAAGCTAAACTATTTTCATAAAGCTCCTTAATATAAAATTAGCCTAAAGGTAATAAAGGTAGTAAGGTTTTACTGTACTTTGAAAACTGGACTAAATCATACATTATATACCTATGTTGAGTTGAACAATGAGACTCAAATGACTAACATTACACTGAAACTTTATAGTTGATATTTCTTAGCAAATATTTTTTAATTCTTTATTGTTTAAAGTATTACATATGAATCCTTTTTCCTTCATTGACCTCTCCCTACTCGCCCTCCCCCGCCCCCCACACATGCCCTCACCGCCCCTACTGACTGTGTCCATGGGTTATGCTTATATGCATGCATACAAGTCCTTTGGTTGATCTCTCTCCCCGCTTCCCCCCGACCCCCCTTCCAAATATTTTAACTTCTTAAAAGTATTTTATTGAAGAAAATATTACTTCAGCTGGTATTGGTCAGCATTACTAAAGATGGGATTTTCTTCTTCTAATACCATCTTAACAAAGCAAATATGGAAACTGACCCTGTGGTCTGTGCATCAAATGCTGACATCTTTTAAATAATATTTTGAGTTCATTTTTTTAAAACATGAAAAAAGGTATTTATACACTTAAACAATGATTAACAGTTCTGGTGTTCTGTGTATGAGTATATGGTTCAATGTGGCATTATTCATTACCTGGAAAATTTTCACATAACACTTCTATGGGTGTGGCTCGTTTTGTATCTCCAATTTTCTGATACCTCTCTTTTAATGTGTCAGCCTAAAACAGGGGAAGAAAAAAACCTTGAGAAAGTGCTAATTTTAAAATTAAATACTTGGAAAACTGGATTGTAATATATTAACAATTTCTAAAATTCAATAAGGAAACATAAAAATGTTTACCTTTAAACCTTGCCAAGGAAGACTGCCTCTAAGAAAATACATGAACATATGACCTAAAGCTTCTAAGTCATCTCTTCTACTTTGTTCTGAAATATAAGAAGAACATAAATTACACTTGCCTCTTCCAGTTAAGAATGCAAGAATGGAGAACTAATTCTTCTGTTATATACCGATTAATTGCTAAAAGTTTAGTATATAAATACATAATATAGATCTAGTGCTTTATATGTGACAAGGTCTTATTTAAACAATAATGTTTTTACATTAAATTTATTATACATCTTTAAAATATGCTATACTTCCTGAGAATCTATTGAAGACTTTTTTCTCTCCTGAGATATCTATTCATAGAAACATAAGGCAAGGGGGGAAAGGTTCCACGGTCAAATAGAGTCACTGTATACTAAAGCTCTGTCTTAAAGATTCAGAATGTAACATATGAAAGATTCTGGAAAAAGAACTAGAGTTTTTCCCTAAAAGATTAATCCTAATGTTAACCTTAAACGTTATACCCTAAGAATGTCTAACCCTGCATTTCCTAAATTTATAAGCACAAACTTCCATCCCACAAACATCATTGATTTTAAAAACAATTAGTATTCTCTGTAATACGTTTTTTAAAAAAAACACTTGTGTTTGACACATCCCAACATGCATAACCCCTCCAAAAATATACTGCTAAAACAAATTGTCATTTTCAAATTGCTATTATTGTTTTAGTAATAAACTGTTGTATAGCACATAACCGAGTGACAATCACAGACTAAGGGAGGTATCTTCAAATATTTGCTGAGTGCATTTTTTTCAATTTTTTTATCACTGAAGTTAAATGCTTAATATAAAAAATGCTGACTAACAAAAGAAAAAAATAATACTTTAATAATAAAAAAATGTTCATGTGCAAGATGTTTTATACAAACGAATAAGCAGTACTAAGTGCTTTTGAAAAGGCAAATGAGCTTTAAAGCTTCAGAAAAGGTTTTAATTTTTGCTATATAATTTCATAACATTCTATAATTGTCTCCTGTAACATGTGCTACACTTTAAAAATATATGTTTGTGTTATTTTTTAATCAATATCTATGCTCCCACCAAATAGCAAGTCCCAGGAGGCCAGATGTCTGTCTCTTTGGCTCATTATTCTCAGATCTGGTATAATGGCTGCCACAGAGCAGGCACTCAACACAAACTATTTAAATACATAAATGAATATTTGGAAATATATACTACCAGATATATGTCCCTTTTCTATAAGTACAGGAAAATATCCAAAAGAATATGCTTTAAATCATTAGTAATCAGGGGTATGAGACTGGAGAACGAGACAAGACATTTCAATTTCTCATTTCATGTACTCAAAAATGTGGTATAATAGGAAATTTTTCTTCTATTTTGTATTATAATAATATAAGCACATGCTATTGAAAACAGCAAACTTTCAAAATAAGTAAAATAGATTTAAAGTTCTTTGTAAAGCCATTAATGAATGTGGGATGTGAATAACATGAAAAAAAATCATGCCTTTTATTACTAAAATTATATTTTATTAGGTACTGGAAGTATTAAGAATAAAAAGTCATGCCAAAAAAATTCTGAAGTCTTGCTGAGAATCGGAATCAACTCCGGAATCTTTTAAAAACCTTAAGTAAGCAGGCCTAATGCCAGAGATTGATTCATTGGGTACAACATGGAGTAGAAGAATGTACATTTTACATATATTTTTTAATTAATTTCAGAGAGGAAGGGAGAGAGAGTTAGAAACATCAAAGAGAGAGAATCATTGATCAGCTGCCTCCTGCACACCCCCCACTGCGGATCGAGCCCAAAAGCCAGGCATGTGCCTTTGACCGGAATCGAGCCAGGGACCCTTCAGTCTGCAGGCCAGTGCTCTATCCACTGAACGAAACCAGCTAGAATGTACATTTTAAAAGTTTAGCAGATAATTCTAAAGTAGACTCAGATTTGATAAGCTCTAAAAAGGAAACTTCTTTCATTGAAGTATTTAATTATTTAACATATAATAAAATACATACATTATAGGGGTACAGTCTGATAAACTTTAACAACACACACACCTAAGTACCATCTATTAAAGGACCTTTGTGTAACTTCCAGTTTGAGGCCATTGTGAATAAAACTGTTATGAACATTCTTATAAAAGTCTTTTTGTGACATATGCTTTCATTTCTCTTGGGTAAATACCTAGGAGTGGATTTCTGTGTCATATGGAAAGTCTAGGTTTAACATTATAAGAAACTTCTACACCAGGGGTGGGCAAACTTTTTGACTCGAGGGCTACAATGGGTTCTTAAACTGGACCGGAGGGCCAGAACAAAAGCATGGATGGAGTGTCTGTGTGAACTAATATAAATTCAAAGTGAACATCATTACATAAAAGGGTACGGTCTTTTTTTTTTTTAGTTTTATTCATTTCAAACGGGCCGGATCCGGCCCGCTGGCCGTAGTTTGCCCACGGCTGTTCTACACTGTTCTCCAAAGAAGTTGTGCCATTTTGTATTTCCACCAGCGATGTAGGAGAGTTCCAGTTGCTCCAGAGCTTGTTCAACATTCGCTAGTAGTATAGCCAATCTTTTAAATTTTAGCCATGCTAGTGGCCATGAAGTATGTGCTCACTATGATTAAATTTGAATTTCACTAGTAACCAATATTTTTTAAAATCATTTCATGTGTTACTGGTCATTCACACATCCTTTTGTTAAATGTCTGTTCAAATATTTAACACATTTTTAAAGTTTTATTTTTTGTCTTATTCTAAAGTTGTAAGAATTGTTTGTATATTCTTGATATGTCATTTTCAGATATAAATTTTACAAATACTTTCTCCCTCATCGATGTTTCTATCTCTCTATCCCTCTCCCTTCCTCTCTCTAAAATAAATTTTTTAAAAACCCACAAAACTAGAGAATTTCTTGAAGAAAAATTAGGAGAAAAATCTTTGTGATCTTAGGGTAGTAAAAGATTTCCTAATAAATTGCTCTTTTTTCAAAGAACAGAAGTGTGCATTTTGACACTGACCTCACTCCCTTCAAAAAATTAACAAAAATAGATCACATACCTAAGTGTTAAACACAAAATTATAAAATTCCTAGAAAATAACAAAAGAAAGATGGCCTTGATTTTGGCAAAGATTTTTACATATAATAAATAACGTAAGTATAATCCATGAAAGAAATAACAATGAGCTAAACTTCATTAAAATTAATAACTTTAGCTCTGCAAAGACACCATCAAAAGAATGAAAAGATAAGCCACAGACTGGGAGAAGATATTTGCAGAAGACACATCTCATAAAGGACTGTTATCCACAATACATAAAGAACTCTTAAAATTCAAAAATAAGAAAATAACCTGATTACGACTGGGTCAAGACCTTAACAGATACCTCAAAAAAGAAGATATACAGTTGACAAATAAGTATATGAAAATCCCACATCATGTAATCAAAAAGTGCAAATTTCCATCTCTTAGAATGGTGTCTACAACATTGACAACAGCTAATGCTGCCAAGAATGTGGAACAGAAACTCTCATTCATGGTTGGTGGGATTGCAAAATGGTATACCCACTTTGGAAGACAGTTTGAGGGTTTCTTACAAAACTAAATATACTCTTACCATACAATCCAGAATTAAGATCCTTGGTATTTGGAGGAAACCAAGATGGCGGCATAGGTAAACACCTGAAATTGCTGCCTCCCACAACCACTTCAAAAATACAACTAAAAGACAGAATGGACATCATCCAGAACCACAGGAAGGCTGGCTGAGTGGAAATTCTACAACTAGAAGGAAAGAGAAAAGCACACTGAGACTCAGAGGAGGTGCGGAAGTAAAATGCAGAGGTAGGGAGGCGCACGCAGAAAGGGCTGGCAACTGAGGACAAGGTTGTCTTTTCCATTCCGGAGGGAGACAAAAGCTCCCGACTGCTCTGAACTCCAGTTCCAGGCGAGTCTCTGGGGACCCAGACTCATACGGGGAGAAACTGGACTGTCTGGCAGCTGGCAGAACTCAAGGGCGGCTTTCTCTCAGAGGTGCCTGCAGCAATTACGCAGGACACTGAGACCCAGGGCCTCTCAGGGCAGGGCTGAGGATCAGCCATAGCGGTTTGCTCCGCCCTGTTGATTCCCTGAGACCCTGCCCCACCCAAGCTGTGCATAGAGGCTTTTGCATATGAATGGCCTGGCCCTTTGCAATCTAAAATTACCTAACAAACTGCAGCTGGGTCAGAGAGACCCAGAACATCCAAAAGAAGGCCCAAGGCCCCACAGCAGCTTGCATTGCTTCATAGCTGGGCCTCATCTGGGCACCTCCAAACCCCAAAGAAAGAAGAGGAATCTGAAGATCTCTCCATAGCTCCTGCTGGGTAGCCTCAGGCAGAGGCTAAATTAGCACCTCCTTAGAGATCCAAGAGCCAGTGTACCCAGTGGTCAGAGTGGGACCATCCAGATTATAACTCCTCAGATCCATAAGGGACACACTCAGGGGGCAGACTCAGTGAGCACCAAAGCCCCACTGAAGCAAGTCTTGCCCCAGAAGGGTGTCTCCAGCACAGAAGTTCTCCCACTATAGACACAGCTGATTCTCACAGCCAATTGGCCTGGAGGTCAATTCCTCCCAGTGATACCTACAACAATCAAGGCTTAATTACAACAAGACTGTGCACACAGTCCACAAAGGGGTGCACCAAGAGTGTCCACCTCAGGTAATTGGGGAGGCTGAGCCACTGGGCCCTATAGGACATCTAGCACAGAAAGCCACTCTATCAACACAGGGAAGCAGCCAAAATGTGGAGACAAAGAAACAGGTCACAAATGACAGAAATGGAGGAAAGCAAACTACTGGATATAGAGTTCAAAACCACACTTAAAAGGTTTTTCAAGAATTTTCTAGAAACCGCCGATAAATTTAGTGAAACCCTCGATAAATCTAGTGAGACCCTCGAGGATATGAAAAAGAACCAACTAGAAATTAAGCATACACTGACTGAAATAAAGAATATTATACAGAGTTCCAACAGCAGACTAAAGGATCACAAGAATCAAGTCAAAGATTTGAAATACGAAGAAACAAAAAACACCCAACCAGAAAAACAAAGAGAAAAAAGAATCCAAAAATATGAAGATAGTGTAAGGAGCCTCTGGGACAACTTCAAGCGTACCAACATCCGAATTATGGGGGTGCCAGAAGAAGAGAGAGAGCAAGATATTGAAAACCTATTTGAAGAAATAATGACAGAAAACTTCCCCTACCTGGTGGAAGAAATAGACTTCCAAGTCCAGGAAGCGCAGAGAACCCCAAACAAAAGGACCACACCAAGACACATCATAATTAAAATGCCAAGAACAAAAGACAGAGAGAATCTTAAAAGCAGCAAGAGAAAAACAATTGTATGGGAGTACCCATACAATTGTCAGCTGATTTCTCAATAGAAACTATGCAGGCCAGAAAGGAGTGGCAAGAAATATTCAAAGTGATGAATACCAAGAACCTACAACCAAGATTACTTTATCCAGCAAAGCTATCATTCAGAAGTGAAGGTCAGATAAATAGCTTCACAGATAAGAAAAAGCTAAAGGAGTTCATCACCACCAACCCAGTATTATATGAAATGCTGAAAGGTATCCTTTAAGAAGAGGAAGAAGAAGAAAAAGTCATAGATAGTAATGATGACCCCGATGAAGACAATCTTACTAGTTATGATATTCAGCTCAGTATTCAAGAATCCATTGAAGCCAGCAAGACTGAATTTTATCCTGAAAGCAACAATCAACTTGACTGTCCTCAACAAAATTTCTTTATGACAATCACTCGGTTGTAAGATGAAATAAATGCTGTTTCCTAACTCTTAGAAAAAAATTAAAAAATCCTTAGTATTTACCCAAAAGAGTTGAAAACTTATGCCCACACAAAAACACACACATGGATGTTTATAGCAGCGTTAGTCCTAATTGCCAAAACGTGGAAGCAATGAAGCTGTCCACCAGTAGGTGGATAAATAATCTACAGTACTTCCAGACTATAGAATATTATTCAGCACTAAAAAGAAATGAGCTATCAAGCCATGAAAAAACATGGAGTCTTAAATGCTTATTACTACATGAACTATACCAGTCTGAAAAGACTACATACTGTATAATTCCAACTATATGTCATCTGAAAAAGGAAAAACTATGGAAACAGTAAAAAGACCAGTGGTTACCAGGCATTGGAGGGAGAGAGGATTAGGTAGAGCATAGAGCAGTGATGGCGAACCTATGACACCCGTGTCAGAGGTGGCATGTGAACTCATTTTCTTTCTTTGTTAAATGGCATTTAAATATATAAAATAAATATCAAAAATATAAGTCTGTTTTACTATGGTTGAAAATATCAAAAAATTTCTATATGTGACACTTAACTGTTAGGGTTTTTCAAAATGCTGACACGCCAAGCTCAAAAGGTTCGCCATCACTGGCATAGAGGATGCTTAGGGAAATCAAACTACTCTGTATGATACATGTTACTATAAAATTGTCCAAAATCACAGAATATACAACACCAAGAATAAACCCTAAGGTAAACTATGAACTCTAGGTGACAATGTACTCTAGGTGACAATATACAACACCAAGAATAAACCCTAAACTATGAACTCTAGTATGTACTAGTATATCAATTATAACAATTGTTCCCCTCTGGTAGGGAATGTAGCTAATGCATGTTTGGGTACATGGGGTATAAGAAAAATCTCTGTACCTTCCACCTAATTTTGCTGTGAATCAAAAACTGTTCTAAAAAAAAAATGTCTATGTTAAAAAATACAATTTAAATTCATTTTCTCTAAACTTACTTAAAAGTATACATCCTAGCACTCTCCAACTGAAGTATCACTATATAAAATAGTAACCATACAAAAATTATGACCCTGGCCTGGCCAATGTGGCTCAGTTGGTCGACCCATGCATCAAGAGGTTGCCCGTCCAATTCCCGGTCAGGGCACATGTCCTGGTTGCAGGTTCCATCCCCATTGGGAGCATGCAGGAGGCAGCGGACCGATACTTTTGCTCTCAGATCAATGTTTCTCTCTCTCTCTCTCTCTCTCTCTCTCTCTCTCTCTCTCTCTCTCTTTCTCTCTCTCTCTCTCAAAATCAATTTAAGAAATCATCTTTAAAAAAAACTAACACTGAGCCATTGGGAAGTTGTGAGTTCATGTCTCACAATAAAATGGTAATGAATCTCTGTTGGTTGTTATAAAGCAGCCTGTTATGGAAATGGAAATTTCTCACAGACACTAAATATAGGTGTGCTGGGTTTTAATAGAAGACGTAGTCTTGAAAATTGAGTATCTATCCAATCATATTTTAAATCTATTGAGAAAGTGTGCTACTGAAAGGCACTCCCCGCAAGCACTACCTAAACCCAACTTGTGCTTTGTAATTCCAGGTGTTTAAAACTTACTTTTCTATAAGAAGGGCAAATTTACATTTTTCAGGTATTTTCAGACATCTGTAAAGAAAAATACCATGAGCCTACTATCAGGCCAGCTGTCAGGGAAGATGCCAAGTGCTATTTTGTTCTGAATGAGCAGAAGCAGAGACATGTAGTATAGAGCTTGTAAGTCTGAGGAGAACAGTTAAACTTGGGCTACACTAGGAGTTGGAAGTTGGATTAGATGACTTATAAGGTCCTGTACAAATTATGGTCATACATTGTAGGAACATTTGAGCAGTGATGATGGATAATATATGTTCCTGTCTATTCTCCCTTAAGAAGATAGAATCTAAAAGCAAAAATTTAAGTTTGGCTTCCTCTGATATGAAAACCAACCACAGCTTAACAATAATCTATTGTAAATACAACTTAGAACTGAATGCTTTTAGAAAGTCACAAAAGTAATTCAATGGGAAAGAATATATTATAAAAAGAACCTCGCCTAGCCAGTGTGGCTCAGTGGTTGAACTTGGACCCATGCACCAAGAGGTTCGATTCCATGAATCCATACTGATAGAAATCAATAAATGGTGGAAGAGAAAGCTTTTGCTTACATCAGAATATCAACTAACTATATAATTGATGGAGTTAGAAAATCATCAATGGATGCTAAATCTAGTGGATAAAAATGTGATGAGGAACAACATGTATACAAAATCTCAAAGATCTACTTACAAAACACTTTTTAATAACAAAGGTAAAATAAGAAACTGTTAAGTGGAGAAAATTAGCAGACACTACCCTAAACAAATGATGAAGATACTTGGAACCAAGTGACATCATGCACCTCTTGACATTTTACAGTGAGAATATATCACTTCTATGATATTTGTGCTAAGAATGCATACCAAAATATAATCATGAAGAAATATCAGACTGACGTAAATAGAGAGCATTCTACAAAACAGTCTATACTTCACCAAAATATTAAGGTCATGAACCATAAAGAGAGGGGAGGAACTGCTCCAGATGACAAGAAACTAAAGAAATATGACAAATAAATGATAATGTGTGGTCCTGGACTAGAAAAAAAATAAAAGCTGTAAGAAATCCTGTGATGTTGATATTATTTTATTCTTTTTACAGATAAGGAAACCAAAGTCGTATAGCTAGTATAGTAAACAGTACTGCTAAGGTATGTCCTCTTAGCATTAAATATATTAGGTATTTGTTATTTCCTGGCTAATTGTATCAAAGTACTATATTCTCAATCAAAAATATCTGCACAAACTAAATTCAGTTAGAATTAAGTATTCTCTCATATCCTTTTAACAGAAATAATCAAATGCATCACCCTCACTATATCAAAGTTGAACATTTCAAATTATATTAAAAAAGATATAGTGAATGCAAGGATATGTCATTCATTTACTCTAGAACAACTTATTTTGAAAATGTTTTATTAAGCCTGGCCAGTGTGGCTCAGTGGTTGGGCGTCGACCTATAAACCAGGAGGTCACAGTTCAATTTCTGGTTGGGGCACAAGCCCCGGTTGTAGACTCGATACCCAGTGTGGGGTGTGCAGGAGGTAGCGGATCAATGATTCTCTCTCATCATTGATATTTCTATCTCTTTCTCCCTCTCCTTCCTCTCTGAAATAAACAAAAATGTATTTTTAAAAATAAAATAAATAAAAATGTTTTATTAAATATAAATAAAAGTAAACTCTAGCTAGATGTGATAAATAAAAATTGTAATAAAAGCAATTGTAACCTGCAAAAACCGAACCATAACAACAAATATTAAAACTCACACCGTTAGCATAGTTACCGAATTCAAACAAAAGGTACACATACCTTTTCCTAAATGTGTATTTATGCTCATATATCTAGCTGTTCCTGTAAGGCTTTTGTGCTCTCTGTATGGTATGTGTTTCTTTGTCTCTGGATCAATATATTCCTTCGCCAAACCAAAATCTATAATATGAATAACTTGCTGGGTTTTATTTCCTGGTCGTCCTATTAAGAAGTTCTCAGGTTTTACATCTCTGTATATCAAGTTCTTTGAATGAACATATTCCATACGAGAAATCTTGATTTTAAAAAGAGAAGGAAGATAAATTTTATTTTAAGCTTTGACTAGCATAAAAAAGCATGATAGAGGCAAGACAACTTTCATAATAAAAACATAAAAAAATCAGAACTTGTTTCAACCCTTTAAAAGTAACATATCAATCTATAGTTTCTCAAATATACATCTGATTATGATTAAAATTCTTTGCTTTTACTATTAATGTCACTTATAAATGAACATGTTTGAATTTTATGAATTCCTTTCAAATCAGTAAGACTGATTTAATCAACACTTTCAGATAATGCTATATCATAAAATCGAAAAGCTTTACCAATACTAAATCTTGAACTCAAAAATAAAGACATATTCACAAAGTTGCAGTTTATTCTTCCTCATCAGTTAATTAATCAAGCAACTTTTACAATTATATTTTAAAAACTTAAAACGACTAAACTGTTAAATAAAAACAATTAACATAGTACCCTTTAGTAAGTCTTTTTTTTTTTAATGTCTTTATTGGTTAAGGTATTACAAATGTGTCCTCATTTCCCATTAACCCCCCAAGTAGTAAGTCTTTTTGTAACTTGTTTTCTTTACATTTTCCTTAGGTATGAAACGTTTTAAAAGATCTTAAAACTTTAAAATTTTCAAATATACTCTAATAATGATACAGTACATTTTTATTGTTTTACACATTCTCAAATAATGTTCAGTGTACAAACTGTCACAAAATAGAACACTACAAATAAAATAAAATTGCATCATTTAGTGGTAATCACGATTGACAATGCAATATAAAGATACTGTAAACATATTGTAAACTCAGGCCATTTTAGTTGGTCAACAAATTTTGGATCATATAATATATAATATTCTATAGCCTATACTTTTAGTTAATGATATATTATGAGCATTTTCCAGGTCATGAAACTTTCTTTTAATACACACTTTGCATTAAAAATAGGTATTATTTTAAATACATACTTTACTAATATATGACTATTAACAACCTATTCAACTAATCCTGTTATTTCTGTACATTTGAGTTTTCCACTTTATTATAAATATTCTTGCACAAAAACCTTTAAGTACAGCTGAATACTTCCATAGGACAAATTTATAGAAGTGGAATTAATGAGTCAATCGAAAAAAACAATTTTAAGACTTCTGCAGCATACTTCTATTGACATTTATTTCAAAATTGCTTTAAAATCATCCTCTAAATTTGTTTTTTCATAGGTTCACTAAAATTTAAATAATTTAGAAAACTTCCAATTAGTTTGTTTCCTCTTTTTTTCAGCCATCAGAATTTATTACCAAGATTAATAATCCATGTTTTTGAGGGTTTTCTTTTCTAAGTATTCATCTTCTAAATGAAAAGTGCTGGAAACAACTTAATTCTCAAACTGAGTATTCTGATCTTAAGGCAATAAAATATTCTTTCATAAAAATAAAATACTACACCTAATTCAATTTTTTAAATTACACGCATCCTAAAAGACAATAATATGAAAGCAGAAACATTTGTACTAAGTTGAATGCTCTGCAAGATAATGTAGCAAAACTTGAAACTTTTAATATAAAGTTGTGACTAGAGAACCACACAATTGTTCAAATGATTTCAAAGCACCCTGCTTTACTTACCAGTTGGATAGCTATCATGAGAACTGTTTTAAGAGAAAATGTTCTATCACACAAATCAAACAAATCTTCCAAACTAGGTCCCAGCAGTTCCAGCACCATAGCGTTGTATTTACCACAAGGGCCAAAATAGTAAACTTGAGGTATACCATCTGGGGGGGGAGAAGAAGAAAGGATTTTAATAATTTCCTCATCTTCAATATCAAACTTTTCTTCCTAGAAAATTCACTTAAAAATTAATTTTGCAGTTTCAAGAACTACAGCAGTAGTTTTACATTTCCCATGGATACAATAAACTTTTCCTGACCCAGCCTTCTCTTGCTAGAGTGTAGCCTGGTTACACTTCCACAGCAGCTGCATGACTGAACTACATTACAAACAGTGCTTCATTGTTGGTCTCTACCACCTCATCAAAGACAGGAACTGGGCATTTTAGTCTTATATTTCCATGACCTAGAGAAATGCTTGGCACCTAGGAAAGATTTGATTTTCACTGAACAAAAGAGGCACTGTTCGCTTTAATAACACTGTGGTAGGCATAATGCTAAGATCAGCCTCCAAGAGTCCCATCCTCTGGTGTATACACCCTGCACAATCTCCACCCTCTAAGTGTGGGCAAAATTCCCAGATTTCACTTGTGATCAGGTTATATTATATGGCAAAGGTGATATAATTAATATCCCTATCAGTGGACTTTAAATTAATCAAAAGTATTCTGGTGGGCCTGACCTTCAGATTCAAAGTACAGAAAAGCTTTCCTGTTGACCTTAAAGAAGCAAACTACCATGTTGTGGAGAAAAATCATATGCCAGAAAATGATGGGAAAGCTCTAGGAACTGAAGGATTTGGTCCCACAGCCATGAAGAACTGAATTCTGGGAATAGCCAGTGAGCTAGGAAGAGGACTGAGCCTCAGGTAAGATTGCAGTCTGGGTTTACATCTTGATTTCAGTCAGGCAAGACCCTCAAATGAGGACCCAGCTAAGCCATGCCTGAACTCCTGACCCCTGGAAATTGGCAGATAATAAAATCTACTGTTCTATGCCACCAGTTACTGAATAATTCATTATTCAACAATACAAACTAATCAAACTCCAAATATAAAGTCTAAATGCACAGAAATCATCTCTATTTTTAGAACTATAAGACTCCCAAGTAACAAATATAAATAGGTGATCAATTTATCTTAACACTGCAGTTATCTATTCATCATGAGGAAATGAACTTCTCCCATCTTAAATGTCTCAGTTTTACTTACAAGTGGTATAGGATTTTTTAGAAGGAAAAAACCTTTTGAATAAATCCTTCCCATTGTTTTTTTAAGTAAAGAGCTTGGGAAACATAACTTTATTCTCTGTTTCCTCTATCATTGTGAATATTTATTGCAGGGGCATAACAGAAAACATTCAACTAGAAGCCAGGACTAGTTTCGTAGTTTATCCCCATATTAACCATTTAACCTCTCAAGGAGGCTTGCATTGGCTTATCTATAGTATTACTAGTTTGGATAAGACCAGTGTTTCTCAAATGTGAATCTGAGTGAGGTAGCAGAACATCTGAAGATAAGGAGGTAAGATAATATAATCGGGGCAGGGATGAGGGGAAGGCGACAAGTTCAAATTGCATACATGGCCTCCTCCCCAGAAATATACATGCCCATGTGTATAGGTCAGCACCCCCATATCTCTCTCTCTCTCTCTCTCTCTCTCTCTCTCTCTCTCTCTCACTCACACACACACACACACACACACACACACACACGCATGCATACACATACACACACACACACACACACAGAACTGCCACTGGGAATCACTACCGTAGTATGTATGAACCACTCTTACCAAAGCCACTCTTATATGTGTGTCACCAACCCCTCACATGTATAAAAGTGGATGAGAGGCTCACTAAAGTTTATTCCAACTCTGAAATACTGCTTTTACAAAGCTATATACATTAAGAGCCTAGAGCGGCACTTAAGACTTATCAATAGCCCTCAGCTACTAAGCTTTTAAAATTATTTCTACAATGACATTTTCCCCTCTATACCATGGGAATTTTTTAATTTTAGCAATCTCTAATAACTCATTTCCACCCTTTAGTTTGTTGCTTCTGATCTGGGTGCAAGGAAACCAGATCATCAAGCTTGTTAGAACTATATTTAGAATATAAAAATAAACAGGTCTGAAGTTCTTCAATGGAAGGACTGTCAAAGGCTTTTCTACTTCCTCCTGAGTCACCAACTATATTTCTATAGTTAAAGTTGTTGTGTAATGATCACTGAATAAGGTAGCAACATATTTTGGTTTATTCATTGACTAACTTTTTTCAAGTGTTTTCAAAGGTTTTCAAAAATGGAAAACCACTTAAGAAATTTGTCTTAATCAATTCAACAAATGCTTTTTGAGCATCTGCTATATCTTTTCGGGACTCAGTTAGACATTACAGATTATGTGTGAACAAGATGCCTGATCAAGGATGATTCAACCCAGGAAAGCAAGTTTAAGTTACTATTTAGAAATCCATCAATGTCACTCACCATAATGACAAATTAAATGTGAAAAAGCATTAGATCACCGTAATAGATGCTGAAAAAGCATCAGACATAGCTCTAAGCAGATTTGGAATAGAAGGTCCTCAACCTGGTAAAGGCATCTAAAAAAACGCCCAGCTAACATCAGACCTGAAGGTGAAAGACTAGGAACAAGAGAAGGATGTCTGTCCACATTCACCTCTTATCAACAATGCAATGAAGCAAAAAGAAAAAGAAATAAAGGCATTTCGAAAATGAACAGAGTCTGTTAATTTAAGAAAACCTAAAATACTTGTTCCTATTTGATACCAACAATAAAGTTCACGCTTTCAAGTAAAACTTAGAATTTTGCAAAATTTATATCTGCCAGGATGAACCTGAAAGCTTCTGCAATACTTAAAGAAACAAACCCTTTCTGATAAAACTGTGATGATACTATTACAATTTAAATTTCGTAATGAAATGTGTCATTATTTGAAATAACTTAGTGAACCAGTATTTTCCAAATCACCAATGCATATATTTACAAAATCATGCACAAGTAATTGATCAATTAAAAGTATGAACAGGAAACAGGAAAATTTTAGTTCTGAATGAGAACAGGAAAAAATTTTTTTATATGGTTTCTAACTCTACATTGCAACTGACCTTTAAGAAACAATCCCCTGCCCTAACAATTTGTTCAGTGGTTAGAACAGCAGCCCAAGGACAGAAGGGTCATGGGTTTGATTCCCAGGCTAGAGCATGTGCCTCAGCTGCATGCTCCACCCCACACAGGGCACATGTGGGAGGCAACCAATCCATGTGTCTCTCTCACACCTCTTTCTCTCTCTCTCTCTCTCTCTCTCTCTCTCTCTCTCTCTCTCTCTCTCTCTCTCTCTCTTTCTCCTTCCTCCTTTCCACTCTGAATAAAAAATCAATGGAAGCCCAGCCGATGTGGCTCAGTGATTGAGCGTGAACCCATGAACCAGGAGGTCATGGTTTGACTCCCCGTCAAGGCACAAGCCTGGGTTGCAGGCTCAATTGCCAGTAGGGGGCATACAGGAGGCAGCTGGTTGATGAAATTTATCATTGATGTTTCTATCTCTCTCTCCCTCTTCCTTTCCCTCTCTGAAATCAATAAAAAACATATTTTAAAAAAATAAATAAAAGCCAATGAAAAAACATTCTCAGGTGATTAAAAATAAAAACAAGAAAAACAATCACCTGTGAAGTTTTGGTAGAGTATCAAAAGGATATTAATAATTTAAAAGTTATATGTATTAATCAAGGTTTACAAAGTTTTGAGTTAAAACCTTGTTGACAAGAATATGAACTGGTACATTTTTGGAGGAACTTGCCTTTCCCTTTTCAAAGTAAGCAAAAGTATGCATACAGTGATGTTGAAGCTGCACTGCTTGTAACAGTAAAAAACAACAACAGGGAACTACCTAAACATCCACCAATCCTGGACTAATTAGGAAAAATATGTCATACCCATTTTGGAAGCAAAAGTGATTTCTACTTTCTCTTTTATATTTCTTAAACTTTTCCAAATTGTTCTGAAAAACATGCGCTACCTTTATAATCAGGAATAAAATGCACATTTTAAAAATTCTTTTGGGACCACAAAGAAAAACTTGAATTAGAAGAAGATTTAGACCATATTTATTTAATCCACATATTAACTGTAACTGAGCTAGAATTTCTCAAATACTCTCCCTAATATTCAAAGTTATATAGTCTTACCTCTACTCTTAACTATTAACTTCATTTTGGAGTTCTTAAGAATAAAGCAAGTATACTATTCAGACTATAATGTAAATCTAGCTTCCTCTCCCTTCCAACCATAACTTCCTAATAGGAGGAATAAATAGATCCATGCTAAGGCCCCATTTACTCTGCCTCACTTGGTTTGAACACGTCTAAGGTTGAATTTCAAAAAATTTCTACCCTAGTTCTGCCATCTAAGTTGTCAAACTTTGGTTTTTATCCAACCTTCAAGTCTCCTCTTTTCAAACTATCTCTGAAGCATGCCCCAAATTCATAATTATTCCCACAGAATTTCTCATAGCCAAGGGAAGGTATGCATAAGTAAGTCTTTTCTGCTATACTTCAAGTAAGCCAGCTCACTGCTGGGAGTAGAATGTGTACCTAACATGTACATTCAAACAAGTGATATGCATACCATACCTTTGAGTTTCTAAAATAACACCATGAAAAAGGTCAGCAAAGGGAGAAAAATGAGCTACTTCAATTTTCTCCAAAATTTTCTTTCTTTAATGGTTTCAAAGTGTCTCAGAATTATGTATCTCTACATTATCCAAAATAACTAAGTCCCATAAATAGCATATCAGTGAGTAAATTTAAACAGACATTGAGACTCCAATATGAATGAAAATACCTCAGCTTTATCATGCAATGTGATTTTACCTTAAAATATGACTCAGTACAAATCATTGGTGAAAAAAAAAGATGACCTAGCTCTGATTAACTCGAGATACATACTGTTCTGTGAGTCAATGAATATATAAACTTTATAGATAACTATTGATAATGTAGTTCAACACAAATTTTATGAAATATAAAATCAAGAGTTATACTTTTTTTTTTAAATCACAAATATAAAGCAAAGCACTGT